CCTCAAAAGGCGACCGAATTCCTCGCTCGCATCGATCACCACTCACCTACTGAGGTCTCCACATATGGATCATATGCAGCACTTGTTAAAGACCAGAATGTTGACATTGTTTACATCGCCACCCCGCATAGCCACCATTTCCAAAACGCGATGCTAGCGCTCCACGCAGGAAAGAGCATTCTTTGTGAAAAGGCTCTCACTGTCACTGCTGCGCAAGCGCGGCGACTTTACGAAGTTGCAAGAGAGAAGAAGCTCTTCTTCTTGGAAGGTGTCTGGACCAGGTTCTTCCCGCTCAGCGTCAAAATACGCCAGCTCGTCGGCAGCGGAGCTATCGGCCAGATTCATCGTGTTACTGCAGACTTGTCTCGAGCGAACAGCAGCAGAGATTTCGGAAGCAAAAGACTCAATTACGAAGATTCCCATCGCATGGTCAACCCTGACTTGGCCGGAGGTGTCCTACTCGGACTTGGAATCTATCCACTAACCTGGGTTTTCCAAATTCTCTACCATCTCCAACCTGAGAATGAAAAAGAGGAGCCACAGATCCTGTCCGCTGTTCAGAAATATTCTACGGGAGTCGATGAGTCGGCCACGATCATCCTCAACTTCCCAAAGCACGGAACAGTGGGTATAGCCACATCATCGCTTCGGGTTGCAACAGATCCTGGCATTTCCGGCACCCAAGCGATCCGAATCCAAGGCTCACGTGGCGAAATACAAGTCGAAAATCCGGCGTACAAGCCTCAATCTTTCAAGATAATTACCATGTCGGAGACGGGAGCTGTTGAGAAGGTTTTTGAATACCCTCATCCGCAAGATAGCGAAAGGAGTTGGGGAAATGGCACATTTTGGGAAGCAGACGAAGCTGCACGTTGCATAAGGGACGGCAAATTGGAAAGCGATACTATGCCGTGGTCTGAGAGCATACTCGTCATGGAAACTATGGACAAGGTATTGAAAGACGCCGGAATATTCTATCCTGAGCTGATCGCTACAGACGAGTATGACCCTCTTAGTCCGCTCAATACCGGTGGATGATTGAAAGTAAATAATTATAGTCACTTTTACTTAGGTTTACCCAAGTATGAAAAGGTGATCAGAAGCGATCTTGATATCTACTTCCCCAACGGTATGTGTGAGTGTCAGAAGATTAAACGAACTTGTCATTCGGCCTCTGTAGTTTTGGAGGCTTAGAGGGTAAAGCGGTCCTTCAAATCAACTGGAGATTTCATTACGAGGCCTGAGCTAGATTTATTAAGCCAATACTAGTTTCATGGCCGTGGTATTGACAGGCGGGATATCTGGCTTTGGCCCAGCCCAGATTGAACAACCCCCAAGTTCTAGCCAAATTGTCGGAGTTACAAGGCCTCGTAGCGACAGAGCTTCACTGAGAGCCCCAGGTCTTCTGCAGGTACTCCTCAATGGTGGTTGGTCTGAATTCAGGAAGCAACTTATTCCACTCATCAGTTGTTGCCCATGTGCCTCGAGCAGTCGAAATCGTCGCTCCGATAACGACTACGTTGCTGAAGTACTCCTTCTGCTCCGCTGGAACACCAGGAACGTCGATTTCAGGGGCGAAGTCTGTCTTGACAATGCCTGCCTTGAGGTCCTCAAGCTTCAATCTGTCGACCTGGAAGGGTTTTCCTAAATGACGTGTTATTCATACGTAGCTAATAGAGAGAGCTACAATGAAAACGGGTTGTGGACGGACCTCTATACTTTTCTCCCAGCTTAATGAGGTCTCCAATGGTGACTCTATCGCCGGTGATACCGCCCACAACAGGCCAATCGCCTTCGTAATCGACGGCTCGTGCGGCTACCTCCGCAATATCTTCGATGGTAGTGATTGACATTTCGGCATTCTCAGACCCCTCGAGAATGAAAGCAGTAGCCTTCTCGAAATCTATGAAGGTAGCATAATCGATCTGGTAGTACTTGGTGGTCTGATGAGGATACCCCAAGTAGTTCATGAAAGCTCCTGGCTGGAACAAACTGTACTCAATCACCTAGGATTTGATCAGAATATGAAGCACTCAATATTTTGAACCCTCAAACTTAACCAACCTTTTTGCTCTTGTTGATGTCTTCCAAGTATTTCTTGACTTCCAACTTGTTGGCATACCAAGACGTGTATTCAATCACGTCAGACAGGTTGTTGTTCCTTAGGCCCGCTCTGTTAGCGACAGAAGTATTGAGGACGAATTGAGCGAACGAGGAGTAGCGATACTTACGTTGCCCACTCACTGGGAGCAAAGCGCTTCACTTCAGCCTTGATCGATGCATCGATAAGACGCTTGGCTGTCTCCGCATTCGGGTCGGTGTGAGCCACGATAAAAGAGAGAACAGTCTCAACACCGTCGAGAATCTCTACTAGCTCCTTCTCGTCTTGATAAGAAGTCTGGATGTACCTCACTCCCTGAAATTGGGGTAGAGATGAAGGGTCCTGGACTAGATTTAGAACAAAAGGACTGGCAACTTGCGTGCACCCAAGTAGACTGAAGCATTGAATGCTTGAAACTTCCTTTAGGGGGGGCCTATAGCTTACCTTGCGGACCAATCCAAGGATCTCATGTTTTCCGGCGGCGGCCAACTTGTCAATGACCTCAAGGGCGAGCTCTGAACGTCACTTGTTAGCCGTGGCATTCACTCTCAGAGGAGTGGATTCTGTCTCTAGCAAGCAATTTGGGAAGCTTCACTGCCTGAGATGAAGTCTTAACTCACTCCCGGAAGCACCAGCAATAGCGACTCTGACCATATTGATGAGATTATAATTTGAATAGAAGGAAGCTTGTGTGTGAACGGACAGCGGACGGTTTTGTTGTGTTGTAGATGGCCTCTAAGTTCAAACTTGAATCTCTAGAGCTCAAGGAGCCTCTTATACTTGACAAAAGTGCAGACACCAAAGTCCGTCAGCTTTGTGAGGCAGTGAAGGAACATCTCCGCTTCATAATCCGCTATCCTTTGCTCATTGACATCATTTCCGATCGTCGTGGTGCCATACATCGACAAAGCGGGATACGCGGGATTCACTTTAAACGGCACAGTAAGCCACTCCATTCATTTTAGGACTTTTTCCAAAACCTCCGCTAGTGGAATGAAATTGGTGAATGACCCATCGCTGAAGGATATGCCACACTCCACGCTACAGGCTGGCGGGGTTCCGCAATTCCGCAGCCGTTCAAACTCCGCCGTCAGCATCGGCTCCCTTAGCCGGCCTATTTCCACGGCGCCGGCCATATGGCCACCAATCTTCCCGCACCGCCGGATCGCACAGAATTCATTCACCGCTGATGTATACTTGAACTTCAAAGCATGCATAGTGAGGGACAACTTCCACGTAATTCATGCTGTGATGCGTTCGCGTGGCTTTTAACAACACCTTGTCCCATTAGGTACTATGCTTTTCCTCCGACCGTCAATTCAGAATATCCTGTATTCAATTTTGCATGCTATTTCGGCATCGGTGACCAAGGTATGTTCTTTTCAAAACGACAACCACTTTCTCGGGAATACTCGCCCCAGAATCATTCCTTGAATTCATGGTCGCACAAGCCTAAAGCTTCAAGCATAATGGTCTTACCTACAACCAAAAAGATTTACCTAAACTATACCGCACTCTAGGAGTTATGACTTTGCCACTGAGCGGCAAGGCTGATGTTTTGATGGTTGCTATCAATCTCCGAGTCAATCGCATGTAAACCGCGATGAAAGCGACAAAGGTTGCACGATTCGCGTCGGAGAGTGGGATGACAAGCCTTAGCAATACCTCACCACCTTGCGTGGACCTCCTTCCTTCCTTAGCTACGTGTTCAGTCATCTAATCTGTAGTCATAAGTCCGTGTTAGCTTCAGAAACTCACCACTGGCCTTGGCATCTCCATTATCACCTCCCTGGCAGCTATCTACTCGAACCGAATTCATCCAGTCTCGGTCTTGCTTACTTCAGAGGTGCGCTGTGGCACCTGTATTATCCCATCAACTGCGAGATGACTTCGGTACATCAGCCTCCAGTTTTCTCTGACAGCCGAATTTTAGAATTGAGTATATCGGATGGGAGTAAGATAGGAACGATCCGGATTACTGTAGAATGATACGTGATTTGTTATTTCCCCTCGTGATAGGTACGTAGCTAAGTACCGACGTTATCTCGCAGTTGATGGGATAATTAATGGACGTCCAAGCCATCACATTTTCCTGCTTCAGGACATTACTAATCACTACTCCGATGTTTTCTCCGGCTTGTGCATGTACTATGTAAATGTCCCGTTGTAAAAAGGCAAAGTATGATGCACGTGGCGTTTGGGGGGGGGGGGGGGAAGCACTATCATGCCGATCACCTTAATCGGGCAATATTCCGCCGTAAAGCTCTGAGTTATAGGGAAAGTCGTTTGCAGCACATCATGTTGAGGTCCACACAGACTCCATAGAGATGTACCGATAAGGCATAACAGACTCATGAGGGGTTCGAATTACCCATTGGGGACAGGGAAAACCTAAGCACTCTCACGGGTGATACACTCTGGTCAACACCGGTGTTCAGAAAGTAACGACCTCGGTACGATAATACATCCGTCTACTGCTGTATGGGTAGAAGTCACAACACAAGCTTGAATTATTAACATCAGGGTCCTTGGTAAGCGAAAGCCCTAGTCGACGGCGAACTTGGCTACGAGATTGCCCACATAGGAGTCGGCTTGTCAATCTGCTTATGAAAGTGAGTTTTACTCGCTGAATCCAACGTCAATGGCGTTGACGGTCTAGGCAAGACACGTATTGCCACGATATAGAGATAGTCAGGTAAACCATGATTGCATTGGAGATATCTTCTTTTTTACCGAGTAGGGCGTCGAAAGACTAGAAGTTTGTCCTTGACCAGACCAGATATAGAGATGCATGCGCCTGTAAGAAGTGCACTTCGGATAACGTTCGCCCTAGATACTTGAAGTATCTACGTCTACACTTCGTACGTGTACATTGTCAACATTATCGACCCGACGTCTCTCAAAGTGTGTACACCAATTTCCCGCCGCTGACCTTGCCCGACTTGGACTCCTGCAAGCCGACCAAGACTCCCTGCAGCCCGTTGCCGCCTTTGTTCAATATCACAGGGGGTGGCTTCACCTTGCCGTTCGCCAGCAGTCCACGACTCAGCTCCCAAAACATCTTGCCAAACTCCAGGTCCTGAGCATTGGCCTCATACGTCTGGAAGAAGCCAAAGGGCTCGCCGAAGACGGTGTAGTACAAACTCGTCCCGATCTTGACGTGAGGGTTGGCTTGCAGCACCTTCCCGGCTGAGATGGGCAACAGGTTAGCGATCGAGCCGCCCTTGGTCGACAGCGCCTTGGCGCAGAGGATACCAGACTCTTCGGTGCTCTGGCAATCCCATGCGAGTGTTAAGCCGTTTTGAGTATACTCCCGGATATCCTTGCTCACGGTAGGGATCCGGTAGTCGAAGACGATGTCAGCGCCGAGCGACTTGACAAAGTTAAAGTTGTGTGGCGAGGCTGTAGTGATGACGCTGAAGCCGGAAAGCTTAGCGTACTGGATGCCAAAGATGCCCATGGCGGTGCTTCCACCGTTGATCAAAATAGGCGCAGACTTTTCGGCGGGCGATGTGGGCAGTGGAAGCTTGAGCGTCTGATACAGAGCTTGACCCTAACGAATGCGTTTCTCGCATTAGCCACTGTTATCTTACAAGATGAACATCCTTGAGCTGTACGCACGACGGTGGTAATAGCAATGCCGAGGGTAGCAGCCTGTTCATCAGAAAGGTTGTCGGGGATGAGAATCTGCAGATCACTCTTCACAACAATATACCTTGCGAAGCTGCCATCAACTTCTCTCAACGCGTTCCTTACTCCTGTCAGCACATCGTATTGAACTTTTCTCAAAAAAAGACAGAGACGCACGAGCCATTAACTGGGCCGCAAATCCGATCGCCCACCTTGAAGCCCTTGGTGACACCAGGCCCAACTTCGACCACGACGCCGGAATAGTCGCAGCCCACCCAACTACCGACACAGCCAGCGTGGTCGGCGGCTTCCACGTGCTTCCAGTCTGTAGGATTGATTGCCACAGCAGAGGTTTTGACGAGAAGGTAGTCAGCCGCTGGCAGGCCTGGGACGAGGACGTCGACCACCCGGGCATTTCCAGCGGAAACAGTCTTGACTGCTTGATTTTGCGCCATTGTGATTCGATAAGATCTGGTTTTTTTGAGGTAAATTTTGACAGTGTAGCGAGAGCCCGTGGAAAGTCCGTCTTATATGAGATGCAATCGAGCTCATAGGAATTGCAGATCGAGTTGGGCAGTGCCAATCGTGGATCCAGGATTCGTTCGGTCTCTTTATATCGTATGGCTTTAGGGCGGAATTCCTCCGCCGTCTCTACGTCACTTGAAGATTGCGAAAACAGAGTCATGATAGAAGGTTCGTGTCGTGGCAATTGCGCGGCAAACACCCCAGGCGATGGGTGCCATTACCAAGCTGGACCATAGAACAAACTGGAAATTTTGACTATCTACATAGCGTGCCTTGAAATTCGCCAGTGCACTTCTAGAGGATGCCAGCAATGAGACTATCGAGATCCCTGTGACAGTGCTTGGCATGGGGCAGGTCCACACTACCTGGGGGGTGCGTTGCCTTGCATAAGCTCCATCAACCTCAAGTCTTTGGACTGGCTCTGACTAAGTGTGCCCATTTTTCGATTTGTACAACCGGCACTTTTCTGCACCCGTCCGACCAACAGCTCGAAAACCGCGTGAAGTGAATATCTCGACGAGAAGTTTTCCACTTGGTCGGTGACTCCAGGGGATCGTATTGCCATCAATATGTAATCAAAAATTAAGCTTGGCAATAATGCCAGTTACGAGGATTTCAAGCGGCCGCTGAAGTATTAAAGCGAAAGGTAATTCCATCTGAATATGGATTGCACAACGCTTACTCGTCTTTCCCAATAAACTATTTCTCAATCCTGAAGTTATCGCTTCGCTCCATGAATACAGGCACCATGAAGTCTTTCAACCTCATGGCCCTCGCGCTCTCGCGGGCACTTGCCGTTCGCGCAGTATGCTCTTCGGTCCTGCGAGTCGAGAATTTCATCAGTTCGGGCCCGTCTCTTGACATGGTCTCTTCCTTGATTATTGGCTCCGAGGCGGCTTTGCTTATCGACATGCCCCTCGCGGTTCCGCAGGCCGAGGAGCTCGCGGCCTGGGTGGTCAAGACCACCGACAAGCCCCTAGTGGCCGCCTTTACCACACATTTCCACCCCGACCACTACCTCAGCGGTTCCGCGTTCCTAGCTCACTTTCCCGAAACAAAGTATTACGCCAACTCTAAGGCTGTGGCCCTAATCGAGAATGAAGTTGAGGAAAAGGTGAAATCAGGGCAATTCCCTTTTCTACCTCCAACTTGAAGACTAGAGTCGCTAACACAGTTCCCCTCTACAGCTGAAAGTCTGGAGCGGCATCCTTGGAGCCGACGCTGTGGTCGAAAAGGCCACTGTCCCAACTCCCTATGACTTTACCTTTTTCGCCCTGCCTGGCAACGAGAACGAGCCCATCGAGCTCCTGAGTCCTCTGGTTGCCGACACCATCGACGAGACCCTCTTCTGGATACCCTCCATCAAGACCCTCATTGCCGGCGACTCTGTCTATAGTCACACCGTCCATCTCTGGCTCGCCGACTTGCTCTCCCCCGCGCTGACCTCCGCCTGGCTCTCGACCCTAGACTTTATTCAGCACCTCAAGCCGGCTGTCATCATCCCCGGTCATGCCCTATCTGTCGAGGGTTTCGGACCGTCCGTCGACGTCGAGCATTCCCGCAGATACGTGTCCTTCTTCCAGAAGGAGATCGAGGCCAAGGGTTTGGACTTCTTTACGCCCGCGGATATTGTCGGCATGCTGGACGGCGCGTTCCCCGGCCTGCTCAACGGCACGTCCCAGACCTCCAAGACGCTCGTTGACATTAGCGGAGACCAGTTCGGCCGCAACGGCACTCGTCAGGTTCACTATGTTGATCTTGCCTCATATAACAAGACCGCCGAGCTTGAGGGCTGGAAGCTCTAAGGAAAATTCCAGAGACTCGCAAAAGAATATGATTTGCTTAGACCGTGAGGTGGGATTTTACGTAGTTGGGGCACGATATCACAATGTAAAATGCGCAACATTGCATGCCCAGCTTACCTTAAGGTCAAAGGATGCAGGCTACGTACGTTAGAGGAAATCAGATGTTGTTTCTTCAACTCCAGGAGCATTATCCGGGATTTTGAATTTGACCCCTTCTGGTCATGGCCTTGAAAAGGTCAAGGAATATAATACACCAGTCATACAGTAATACATCAATTCACGCAGTGAAAGCTTTCGACATGGTGACGCTTTCAGACATTCCTTCTTACTCAAAAGCTGTTTTTCCTATTATCTTCGTACATGAAAAGCTGCGTACACAACCATTCCTGCCCAGTGCTAGGCTGGACATTCATTCCGTCGAATTTTTCACATTCTCTTGGCCTGAATATGATTAAATCCTGGCGTCCCCGTACAGGGTGCCCTAACATCACCACGCGTGGTTAAAGCAGATGCTAGCGGATGAGATTGAACAAGTGACCATTAGGCTCCATAGGCCTTGCCAGGTGTACGCTTAGACACCATGCCGGCACGTAGGGATCGATATGCATAACAGCCTTGCCATACTCAAGCTATTGGAAATGGCACTGTTCGCATGAAACCGTCAGGAAGGATCGGAGGCAGCATCTATCAGGTTAGCAGTGCTGACCGCGGCTCACTGACCAACTACTGAATTACTATTGAGAACGTCCTTGTGGACGGCATGAGTGTCATAATGGAATCTTAGACGAATATTAGCCAAGTCTCCATAGAGCTTGTGGGAGACCGCTTCAACTGCAAAGTACATCGTGTGTACGAAACTATAGATTCGTAGCACTCATCTCGTATACGACAATCTAGACCCCACTACTACCTTGGCTTCTTTGATCAATTCAATTGGGGGTGGTGGTTAAACATCGCAGTCTTAAATGGCAAAATCAGAGACAGGCGAGTTAATATCCTTAGTGCTTACACCTTCGAGAAGAATGGCAGACAGCGTAACATCGGCTGGATAAAGTGGCAACTTGGAGAACAAGGGCCGTCCCACCGGCCGGTCGGGCCCTGGTGTCTGTTGATTCTAACCCATGTGTCGTCCGGGGTGTCACGCTGGGGCTGTGATATTCCATTTGCGACCTGCCCTATGAGAACGCCTAGGACTGCGGGACAGAAACCCATTGCACGGGAGCTTTGCCACATCCGCCGCTCCCCGACTCTTTGCACACTGCACTTGAATAATCCTTGCTAAAGACCCGTCGAAGGCAAGGGCTGTTGGGCCTGGCGGGGTTCTCGCGCAGAAGCGCACCGTTGAACAACATGCGATCAATTGGACTAGGCGATGTTTGTGCAGTAGCCCGAAGGCAATGAACTAGGATGAGTTGACAGCAGTCCGTTGGGTCTGAGCCTTTAAATGATTGGAAACGACCCTCTAGTCCTGAGAAAGCTTCTCTTTCGATTGTTGTGCGTCCCGTCATTCAACCTGCCGACTCTCTCGACTTTGTGCAATGGCTATCATTCGTGGTCTGAAAGCAGCAGCTTGGATCGCCCTTGTCTTGGGCCAAGTCCAGCTTGCAATTGCTGTGCCAGCGGCTGCCAAGTTCGCCAAGAGAAACACGACGGATCTCCACAGCTCTTACGACTACGTGATTGTGGGCGGAGGCTTGAGTGGCCTTGTGGTTGCCAATAGACTCACCGAAGATCCGGATGGTAAGCGAATGACGCGTTCTTGAAATAGCGGACTGACGTGCTGCTAACCGACATCTCTAACAGTAACTGTCTTGGTTGTTGAGTATGGAGACTTCGACGTCAGCTGGGACGTAGCTATACCCTACTACGCTTCTAACCTACACCCCAACGATTTGATCCAATTCTTGTCCATCCCACAACCTGGATTGAACAATAGGACTTCTGGTGTTCAGACTGGAACAGTAGTTGGAGGTGGCTCTACTGTCAATGGCATGGCATTTGATCGCGGCTCGAAAGCCGACTACGACGCGTGGGAAGAGCTAGGCAACCCGGGATGGAATTGGGACAGCCTCTTCCACTATTTCAAAAAGGTGTGCAAAAGTCGACGGTAGAAATAGGGCTGAACTACTTGTGCTGACGTCTTTCCCCAGTCATCTACATTTACGCTTCCCGCGCCCGAGTATGTCGAGAGGTACAACTTTAGTTACGACCCGAGCACCTATGGTGATGGTCCTCTCCAAGCTGGCTTTCCCTCGTGGCAATGGCCCGACAGAGGTACGCGAAAACATGAACCCCTCCTAACATTTACAGAACTCTATTTCAAAACTAACATGAATGCTTCCTAGATCTTCAAAGAAAGGCCTGGATTGAGGACATTGGCGTTCCTGTACTCGATGACCACGGTGCCGGAGGAAACAACGTTGGCCTGGCTCAGCTCCCCCAAAACCACGACCCAAAGAACGTTACTCGGTCGACCTCGAGAACAGCATACTATGAGCCTATCGCCGAAACTCGCAAGAATCTCAACCTCCTTGTGAAGCACTATGCTTCGAAGATCGAGTTCGAGGATAAGAAAGCTGTCGGCGTCAACATCATCTCACGCGAAACTAACGCCACAACATTGGTGAAGGCAAAGAAGGAAGTCGTCCTTGCCGCCGGCGGCGTTCAGACGCCGAGAGTCCTGCTCCAGAGTGGCATCGGCCCCGCTGGGCTGCTGGAGTCTCTCGACGTCGATGTAGTCGCCGACCTCCCTGGTGTGGGTAGCAACTACCAGGATCACGCATGGATGTTGATGTTGTATACGTACGGTAACCCTCCTGAGCTTGGGAGCGAGGCCATGAACGATCCGGCATTCTTCAATGCATCTGAGGCCGAGTACTTTGCCAATCGAACTGGGCCCTTCACTCACGCTCGTGGGAATAATATCATCTTCAGATCTCTCCAGGATCTTACTCCGGAATATGAAGCTCTGTCAGCGTCTGTCGAAGCCCAGAACGCGCTCGACTTCCTTCCGGAGATCTACTCAGAGCACCCCGAGCTTCTAGAGGGCTTCCTATCTCAGCGTGAGGCTCTCACCAAACTGTTCCGAAACCCAGAGGCAGGCGTGCTGGAGATCCCCTTCGGAGGCTTCTCTGGTGGCGCAATTGCTTTCCAGAAGCCTCTGTCTCGTGGTACCATCAAGATCAGCTCAACCAACCCTGACCCTGCCAACCCGCCCATCATCGACTTTGGTACCCTTCAAAATCCCGTTGATGTCGATATTGCAGTCCTCAGTGTCAAAGATTTCCGCAAAGTCTGGGATACTTCCACTTTGGCGATTAGGGAGGCCGTTGAGATCTCTCCGGGTGTCAACGTCACATCTGACCAGGCCATTGCTGAAGCTATTAGGAACTCCCTTTTTGCCAGCTTTGCGCACCCCAGCGGAACAGCGAGTTTGCAACCTTTGGAGCATGGTGGCGTTGTAGACCCCCAACTTCGTGTCTACGGTGTTGAGAGCCTGAGGGTGGTTGATGCCAGTATCATTCCACTGATTCCAGCCTGTCATTTGCAAGCGACTATGTATGCCGTAGCTGAAAAGGCTGCCGATATTCTGAAGGAGAATTAGCTCACACAAATACATATTCGCCGAGGTATCCTATCACGCTTTTGATGCTTATGCTTGCGAGGAGCTTCCTTGTCACGAATTAGGAGATTCCACTGCTGCTTTTTGTTAACGGGATTGACAAAGTGATGATAAGTTTGATCATCGTCCTGGGGTGATCTTAACATGCCGGACCTGCATTAGGCATAGATCAGGAACGCCACCAATCCAAGCCGGATGATATGCCGCCTAGATTAAAGACATGTGAAAAGGATTAAAAGTCCGAGGGTCCTTCCACCAATTGAGTGGGTGGTCCAAACGCGTCCAGATCCTCAGCTGTGGTCGATCACAGCCACATGGCTTTGCCTGAGAGAAACGGGCTGCATATCTTTCCGTTCGCAAGCAAGCCGAGCCACTGGCACGATGGAGCGGCCGCTCGCATTTCACAAGCCCGTTAATCATGGGTTTCTTTCACAACTGAACCGCTGTATGTAATGTAATGGAACCAATCTCGTCATTGCTTCAATGAAAGGAAGCGAACCTCAAATGTCGCCACGCGAATGTTCCCCTGACATTCCCATTCATCGTACCCCGTGGCTCTTATATTCCAAACCTTCGTTCTTTCGATTTGCCTTCACTAGCCGTTGATGTTTCAGCAATCCTTAATGTTGAGTGAAGATGAGGACGTTTGGCGCACTCACCTTTCTACTGTGCATTATCACAATCGCAGCCGGAGCCATTCCTAGTATCTCCGATTATCCTCCTTGCGCAGTAAGAACGTCCGAATCCCGTCTCAGCAAGGTTGAAGCTGATAGATCTAGATTACCTGCATCGTTGATGCCCTACCTCAGTCCCCATGTACTGGTCTGAACCAGACTTGTCTTTGCGCCGACCCGGTCTTCAACGACAATGTTGGGGCTTGTGTTAACTCTGGATGCACAGTCAAAGAGGGCCTCAGTAAGCATGGGATCAAATTACTCTAGAAGTTTCAGACTCTAACAGTGATACAAGTCGTAGCAAATATGACCTGGGCAAACTGCGGCTTCCCGTTGACCGACCACACAGCGATACCCCGATTCCTCACAGGTACACTCTTCATCTTACCAGTCATCTTCATGTGTATACGGATCTTGAACAAATTTGTCAACCCATCTCCTTGGGGCGCTGATGACGTTTGCATCTTCATCGGGTTTGTAAGTCAGATCCTGGACTGTCACGTCGCTGCACCGATTCTGATGTCCAAACAGGCATGCGCGACGGCTTTGGTGCCTATTGTGTATCGATGTAAGTGCACACCCTACTCACTTAACAACCACCCAAATTACAATCGACTGACATTGGTTGCAGTACTAGCTATTGGTCTTGGGAGGGACATCTGGACTCTCCAACCTTACAAAATCACCGAGTTCCTCAAGGTAATATCTGAACACTTAAGATTTCGTGGGAGAGAAAAAAACACCGAATTCCTGAGGGTCGTACAGTAGTTCTAAGACACTTAGACTAACCGTTGCTTAGATTCTTTTTAGTACCCAGATCTTCTACATCACTGGCTTGAGTACCATCAAAGCGTCCATCTTATTCTTCTACCTCCGTATTTTTCCATCTGTTCGCTTTCGCCGAGTATTATGGGCTACACAAGGTTTCAATGCTTTGTTATTATTCTTGTACCTCATTCTCACGTTCACTCAATGTCGCCCACTCAACAAATACTGGCTTGGATGGGATGGAGAACAAGCAGGCGTTTGCATGGACTTCAACAAGCTTGTCTTGACTCACGTTGGCTTCAACATTCTCTTGGATATTTGGATGCTGGCCCTGCCACTCACACAGCTTTATAAACTGAATCTCGGATTCAAGAAGAAATTTGGGGTCATCTTGATGTTTTCTGTTGGATTATTGTAAGTTCCACCGTGGGAGGAAATGTATTCAGACTGCTGATCATGTCAAATCAGCCTCACCGCAATCAGCGCTCTCAGGATTCAAGTCTTGGTTCACTTTGCGACCGCCAATAACATCACTTGTAAGCTCCATCCTTATCATTCTTTCCATCTTCATTCCCAGGAACGATCCAAACTCATATTTGACTCTCTCAGCTGAGGCCTTGTGGGTCTATGTCTGGTCCCTTGCGGAACTTGATGTTGGTGTTTTTGTTGCCTGTATGCCTAGCGCAAGTCAACTCTGGAGATGCACCTTCTCAAAGATCAGAACGCTCTCACATAGATCTGATGAAAGGTCTGGATCAACCACTGAAATGATTCCGTCGCCAAAGAGGGCCAGTGCACCAAAGGCTCGGCACTTGTCTCTGGAGTCAACGTCGTCGATATTGAATCGGTCCCCGGTCTGACGACATTTCAGATGATTGGCTTTGCAGAAACTCAAACATCTCTTAGGGCTCAACCTTGGCACATAAGAGCAAGAAGCATTAGGTTGGTTTCAACCATTGAGCGTATATACGTATTCTATTATTGTAGTTGTACAGATTTTGTAGCTGCGGAAGATTACAAAGAGACGTTAAGTGAGCTCAAGTGTCGCCACCAGCCAAATTGATGAAAAGGTCTTTCAGCCGGTGAAGCAGCATTCTTGCTACTGCTTGAGACGGGTTTTCAAAGCCACCTCGGCTCATACGCTAGGTATCGCGCTGCAGGACGATAAATGCTAGGCTGCTTCAGGCGCTTTCTTCGTCATTGGATCGTTTTTTATTCAGATCCTGGTCCACGACATCATTCAACACAGCCAAGCCATCCCTCTCGGCACCAATTCGAGCTCTTTTCAGACGCCGAGTATCGGACTCCGTCTTCCTCGTAACCCACCAAGTAATCAGCGTAACAATGGCACAGCACCCGACCAGAGCCATTGCTGCTGCGAAACTTGTCTGATAACGCGGCGCATACTTTGACCTGAAGATCTGAGGCCCAATAGCACCTCCGATTTGACCGTAGCTGTTGACAAACCCGATGCTGAAGGCCGAACCTGTGGCTCTTGAAGTGGTCTGGACGCGCCAAGGCCACATGAGAGGGAAGAAGGCGGACGTAAAAGCGTTGCCGACGAGCGTTGCGGCATAGACGGCGCCATTGGACGGGTAGGCGACCAACACTCCGTAACACGCGATCACGACAGCGAAAACGCCCAAGGGGTAGAGTGGCCGCGGCACGGTTCCTTTGTCAGCAAAAAATCCCGTTACTCCGATGACAAAGATGGACAAGAGCGAGATTGGCAAGTTAAGTAACTGAGCTCGGGCTATGGTTGTAAACCCAAGATTGGCAATGACCGTTGGCTGATAGAAACGGACACCAGATGTACCGACAGTAAATGTGGCCCAAATGAGAGTGAAGAGCCAAAGACGTCGATCTTTCAGAGAGTCCACAATTTCGCTGAAATTGAAGTTCATCTCTTCAGCTCTCGGGGCATTGGGTGGAAGCCGTGCTTGGATGAAGGCTTTCTCCTTTTCAGTCAGCCACTTCGCAGTGGGAGGGACTAGCACAAGACATTGTTAGAATTATAATAATCGGTAGCAGGTTCAAAGGAACTCGAACTGACAGTCAGGCAGGAGAAAATATACCGCAGTCCCTAAAACGAGAGTAATGAGCCCTTCCACGAGGAATAGCCTATGCGGTTCCGCTGTCAGCTTTCAGGAAGCTCATTTTCAGTGATGTCTTACCACTGCCACCCTGACAACCCTCTTGATCCGGAGACAGTATCGAAGGCAAACGCGAGAATACCGCTGAAGATTCCGGAGAGATTACCGAGGACATCTACCTCGTTTGTTAGAAATTTCGCCCGGCGATGAGAATCGACTAAGGGGTTACTCACAAAAGTAAAGCAGCCGAATCGACATCTCGTCCGGTCTGTACCTGCCAAGGGGTTATTCAATCAATCAACTGGTAAAGCTGCTAGGCAAAGCTTACCAATAGGTCATCTGAAGTATGACTCCAGGAAACATTCCTGCTTCGAACTATGCATTGTTAGAAATGTCGGTAGCTTTTTTGATATCCCACAAAAAGACTGGACTTACTGCACCGAGCAGAAATCGGGTAGCGTAGATACCGCCTTTATTGGTGACAGGAACGTGGCAGAGAAGCGCAATGCCCCAGGAGATCATTATCCTCGATTGCCAAGCACTCGGTCTGAGTCGCTTCAACAAAAGATTTGAAGGCGCTTCCAGAACAATGTAGGGTACCTGGACCAATTAGCCGCAAGCTCGGTAACTCAGGTGCGGCTGTAACATACGTAGTATAACACCGTCAAAAGGTTGTATTCGTCAGAAGTCATATTAAGCTGCGTCATGATGTTCCTTGGTGTTCCTTTGTTCATGATTCTCGCATTCGAAATATTGTCAGAGTCGATGTTCTTCATCAGGAAGAGCAGAGAGCATATTGTCATTATCCTCAGGTCGACACGTCGCATGAGCTTCTTCTCCTCATCAGCTGTGAGCAGAGACCTGGCTCTCATTCTCTCGGCATCAAAGCCAGAAACATCTCCGCTGATCGATTGGTCGATTTGCTCCCCACGTCGAGCAAATGTCAAGCCGTCTTTGCTGGCTCCACCGCCGCCAGACAAAGAGTTCGTCCTGGTTGAGATATCCTTCGTGTCGGCCATTATGAAATGATGGAGGAATCTAATCTCTTGGTTGGCCATCCAAGGTTCCGAGTCTCGAAACGCAAAGGCATTGCGCGGTTTTGTGAAGCTTGCTGAATATTACTTATTGAGGGCTGGGGTCAAACGATTCACTAGTCGCCAAGAACTTCACAACAAACAAGACTGAAAAGTCTGACGGAAATAAGCCGAGCCTGCATTCATCTACCGATCATGTCATCTTTCCCGAAATCGCGAGCAATGAAGATAACGGGGGTGTCGTGCACCATTACTGGCCACATGTAGACATATGCATGGATTGTCTCAAGTGTGCCAAGAGGAGACAAGTAGCATCATTTGAGCCCGGGAGAGCCTTCCGCGATAAGTCTTTGCTTCTTGATCTCTTCCTGAGAATCCTTTCGTGGGGGGCTTTGACGGGCTGCTGGGGTATCTATTATGATCATTGGGCAATTCACTGATGACAGTGCTGTTCAACTAAGTAAGCGGACGAAGTCCGTCGAAGATCCTTGCATTCGCAATCATACCCCGCGATGGCGAGATACGGGCATCTCACGCTAACAACATCAGAGAGGCCGAGTGCGGAGATGCGTCGTTCGTGGCACATAAGATAACGAATGTTCCGGTGTAGTGTGGAATTGCGAACTTGTGAAAGTCTAGATGGTGGACTCTGCATCCACGTCAGTAGCATCAATAACTGCTCAAAAGTCCAGCTCCGACTTCAGCAATGGCTGTAACGGTGCAAATAAACCCAGTGCGTCACAATCATGAGAGTTCCACTCTTCCCGTATACCACCAGGTCCCAGAGACCAAGTACGAACGTGAGCATACGAGGAGTCAATATTTGCCATCAAATATGAAGCTTATTGGAATATATCCGCAGTTGAGTGGGCAGACTTAGTCACACTTGATCTTTCAAAGTTTGACCAGCCGGGTGGCAAAGAAGCTCTCGCAAAACAGCTCTTTGATGCCATTCAAACCATTGGATTCTTCTACATTGTCAATTTTGGTTTGAGCCAAGGAGACGTCGATCGCCAATTCGCGATAGGAAAGTCTGTCTTCGAACTACCCACCGAAGAAAAGCTCAAGTATCGTGCCGACCTAGAAAACGGCGGTTATAATGGGTACAAACCGCTTGGCCTAAGAGTGAGTGTTCGAATCGTTGTTACGGAAATGGTTCTCGTCATCTTCCTCATGCTGAATCTCGTGATCCAGGAAATCCGGCCCGGAGTCTTTGACAACACCGAGATCTTCAACATCCCAAAGTTCATCCCTGCCTACGAGCGCCCACAACCCGAGGTGATCGAAAAAAACAGAGCAGAAATTGAACATTTCGCACGTCATATTCACAACGAAATTGTGAACCGGCTACTTACGCTGTTTGCAATCATACTGGAGCTACCCGAAGACCACTTCGCTGCCCGCCATCGTTATGATGAGGCATTGTCGGACTGTCACTTGAGATACATGAAGTACCACGCGCGAGATGTGAAGACCAACGAAAGACTGGAAAACGTTTGGGTCAAAGGCCACACTGACTTTGGAAGTCTTACTTTGCTGTTCAGGCAGCCTGTTGCAGCTCTCCAGGTGCGAGGCAAAGATGGCAACTGGAAGTGGTATGTTAATATCTCGCATATTTCGCATATTTCTTGTGGTAACCATATTAATACCAAATAGGGTCAAACCATACAACGGTAGCATCACTGTGAACGTGGCCGACGCGCTAGAGTTTCTGAGTAATGGGTTCCTGAAAAGCAGCATTCATCGCGTCGTCGCCCCACCCCCAGACCAGGCGGGGATCGATCGTCTAGGTGTACTGTACTTCGTGCGGCCTGAAGATAGTCTCGAACTGAGACCGGTTCAAAGCAAGGTTCTCCAAAGGCTGGGCTACAATTCTAATGAGAATGCGGCCGTGGCTGGAATCACAGCTGGTGAATGGGTGAAGGCTCGCGTCAGGGCGGGCGTAACTCGATGCCAAGCAAGAAGTGAGGTCTCCGAACAGGAAATTGTGAAAGGGGTGAAGGCCAAGTATTACGACTAAAGGTACATGGAGGTGAATGAAGAAGTGTTGAACATGGAAAAGGAGGATCGAACTTTATATGGACATTGTAGTTTGGTGCTTAACGTGAACCGTCCTCAATCATCATTGACATAATTCTCAAACACATCCGCGTAAAATTTCCTGCCAACATCCCTATGACTCCTAACCTTCGTCCTCAACTGGCTCTCCCCCCAAGTCTCATATTTTCCCTTCAAAAACGCCGAATCAATCTCCCTCCCCTCCTCAGACTCCGACACCAACCCCCTAATCTCAGGCCTCGCAAAATGCTCCCTCAGAGACCCCACCGCCTCCTCCTTGGTAAGATCCCTCCTCACCCCCTGGAAAAACGGGACGCTGAACCTCTCAAGATGCCCAGACAGCACGCGGTGAGTGGTAGCCTTGCACACCCCGTTCGTCACCACCTCAAACGCCTGACCGATATTGACAACAAAGGAGCCCGGGAGTACTGGTACGTCGATCCATTCGCCCGTCTTGTTGAGAGCTTGTAAGCCCTTGATATGCGGCGGCGAGGCTTGCAGGAGGAAGGTCCACCACCCGGACGAGTCCTTGTGTGGACCCACGCCTTGGCCGCCTGCTTCGTTTTCCGGGAGGCCGGGGTAGTGAACTAGTTTCAGGCGGTGTTGGTCCGAGAGATAGGAGAGGAAAGTCTCTGGCGGGAGAGAGAGTGCTTTGGCTACCAAGATGAGGAAGCG